CTATTGTTAATGTGTGTGGGTTGTTGCAGTCATGTGAATTACATACATACATACATACTTGCTAAAGCTGGGATACACGATTTAGACTCACCTGAAGTACGTGTGTTTGTGCATCTGTATTCCCGATCGCATGTGCCTAAAAGGGGTATATTAATTTTGTGCAAATGCGTGTGACAAGCAGATAGAAACATCTGCGATCATAAAAAGTATATTTATTATTGACGATGAGTTGAATCGATCTAACCATGTTGGTCTTGGAAACTAAAAGAGCTTGACATCTTTTAACTCGTCTCAGGCAGAACGAAATTTTCGAAATCTCTTTTCATTTTTATAATATCGATAAATATGGATTTTAATACAAGGGCTAAAGCAATACTTAGAAACCATAAGATCTAAATACAAATTTGGCATATGGCTTGTTCGTCACCTGCCAAATTATGGTGAGAGGCTGAGGCAAGAACAAGCACAACTGCTGCATGAATGCAGAAAACTGGAATGTTTGTTGCATCAGCTTGGAGCTGTGTTATCTTTAGGCTATCTTAAAATCGAGCACTCCCGACTAGAACAGTGTAATTGACGATACGCTTACATATGCGAACATGTGTGTATATGGGAGAAGAGCTCGAATACTTTATGAAAATACCAGAAAATGAGTAGAACCTCTTTTTCCAGCTATCTTTTTAGTAAGACATACTGAAAATACGCTATGCGCCAAGAGGCAACATTATTATTAGTACAACGTCAGCTGAAGGAAGAAGGAAGGCGACAATGCAACCACAAATCGTCCGGCCAATAAGCACCTATGACAACTTAACTGCCACAGCCAACACATCGGAGCCGAAGACAAAACAACAGCAGCCACAGCTAGAGGCAACACTCAGCAACGTTCATTCGAAGAGCTCCACGCTGCAGTCATATTACGATCAGGATAGCACAAGCTTACAATGTGATTTGGCCATGAACGTAAACAAGAAATCTCGGAGCCGAACATACCAGGAAACGCCTGAGGCTGCAGCAGTCATTGAAACAGCAGCAACAATCCAGGATCGGCTTGACCCGGAAATGCCAGAACACGTCTCGGAGCTGAATGAAACCAGCCACAGCATCGCAGCAGTTAAAGCGGCGCTGAGTGTTGCAAAATCCAAATTTTTTGGAATTCACAATTGTGAGACATTGGACGTTACCGCGCCGCCTACAGATGAAAATGCACCGCATGCGCCCATGCTAGCAATCAAGCCGGAGCCCAAATACCAAAACGTGCCACAGTCCAACCGTATTCCCATTTTACCGGAACCAACCAGCTTGAAGGCAATGAAAGAGCCCACAAATGTATCGCATCGTTATGGCGCCACATATGAGCAAATTCCATTGAGCGATCTAGATATGCTACAGCCAACGCAGGTTCGTATTAACTACAACTAGCACCTGATGCGATGTGGTCAGGCACAGCGAGATTATGCTTATTAATTTTTCCAATGGATAGGCTGTCTATATGAGTACAACGGTGCCACAGAATATGAAGGGCATGAAAATCGCTGGACGACACACACCAACTCGAAATAGTCTAAGACACAGTCGGATGATTGTTGTAAATAATAAGAACCATGACAGTAAGTCTAGCAAACTTAAAAAAACAAAATAAATCGATCCATTTATATTATGCATATTAAACCCCCTAGGTATCCAAGATACGTATTCTACGCACATTCGGAATTCAAATCTATCGCGTCAACTGCTGATTTTGCAACTGGCAATCGGCCTGCTGATCGTTGGTCTCTCAATCTCAATATTTTTTTTGACACCGAGTGCATCTATACTGATAAATCCGTACCTAAGTGGCTTATCAGTAAGTTGCATCCCATATTTAATTGTCGATATTGATTATAAGCATGTTATTCGCTAATTGCACACATAAGTGTTACTTACTGAGTAGTAAATCAAGTAATATTTTAGCTTTTACTTGCCAGTATTGCCGGTCTAATACTGCTTGGTCGGGATCGCGGAGCTGAATACAAAAGAGCACATAACAACTGCAACAAGGTGTTGCTAGCTGAATCTTACGTGTTTTCTGCTGTGGCACTAATTTTCTGCTGCTTGGCTCTAGTCTGTGCCGCTATTGAGTTTGCCGAGCTGCAGAATACCTCCATGCCAACTGATGGCTCCTGTGGTCCAGCAACGAGCTCACTCTTGAATTATCGCAACTGCACCTGCTTGACGGAAGATCAACAGGCTACCACCCCAGAAGCAATAGCCGAAGATGGCACAGGCGATGTGTGAGTATAGCTGCCAGATTAAATATTAAGCAGGCGATTGGCAATTACACCAATTTATTTTTAACTTAATTATATTATTACAGCGGCAATAGTTATAGTAACAGTCAAAGTTGTGAGGCACTTCGTGGGAAATGGAAATATCTGCTTGGATTCTCTATGTCTCTTAATGCATTGGGCATATTTGCAACATTTTTATATATTACGATATTTATTTGTTGTCATCATAACAGTCGAAAACACTTCAATATATCTGTCTGATAAACTTTGTACCTACATACATGCACATGCATCGACAATTACATATGTATGTGTATGTACAATTATAATATTTAATACAAATACAATTGTCACTAGAAGAACACATTTCAATTTGGCTCAGCAATACTTTTTTTTTTTGTTTTGTAATGCATTTGTGTTTGGCATTCTAAAAAGTAGTGTTAATGAAATCTAATTGATAAACGTAAAGATAATGAAAATTACATATCATTATCATTGAAAAAATTAACGATAATGAAAATTAGTTTTAATTATCATTGAAAACATATTTTCATCAGCATTGATAAATGGTTTTTCATTATCTTTAAAACTGACTGACTGATTGGTGATCAGCGCACAACTGAGACGGGGTTTTCCAAGTCTTTTGTTCAAGTTCACTTTGAATTCGTATAGCTCGTATAGTATGCATAGATAGGAAACATTTCAGTCACCATAACAGCTTCATACAATCGACATACTCGATTTTTCCACATTTGTAAAGTGTAAAGTATTAGCTTCCTAGCTCTTACGACTTGGTCTCTTCATTCAAAGGTCTTTGGCAGAAATGATGACAAGCTGATCTTTCTGAAGCCCTTGAAGCAGGAGGATGAGGCTTTGCGTATAAAGATAACCCTTGAATCCAAACAACTGGTATCTTTCCGTTTTTGAGCACTTTTTTGAATACTGCTTGTAGCCAAATAGTGACGGTTGAAGGAGTTGTGTATCAGACCACGAGTGATATAGGTACTACCCGCAAAATTTGTTATTAATTGAGATGCACACAATCAAAAGGCGATTGATGTCAGCAGGTCGAGATGCCTGGTTGTTTTTTGGAATTAAGACGCTAAAAGCAAATCGGTGACTCCGGCTGACTTGAGAGGCGGACTAGGAAAGCAGCGAAGGCTGCTCTATAATTATGGCTATCTGAAGTAGTCTTACAGGCATCTGAACATGTAATTTCCAGGTAAAGTTCCCAATCTATGACTGCATCAGCGTCATCTAAGTCTAGTTCAAAATCAGCTAAGCGGATCTATCGGGTTCCTCTTGTTGCGAAGTTAGTCTGACGGCTGTGTCGCTTCGGCCAGAGCATTCGATTTACAGTCCTTAATGACTGCCAAGTAAGAGCCATAATTAAGCTCGGCATTAGCGGTTCGAGTGAATACTGAATAAAAAGTTATTGCTGTTACGCTGTCAGAAATGCTCCGGCCGTGTCCCCTAATACCAGTTGAGGTCCTTGCAGGGTGAGTGGTTGTGCCAAGCAACTGCCTCCAGCAGTTCGAAGCAACGGATAACCAAGGCCATTTTCGCACAATCTAATTTCTGTTTAGGATTTCTTTAGTCTTCCTCAATTTTATACCCTTAACTCATTGAAAACGGATCAAGTTTATGTAACAGACAGAAGGCGGGATACTATATATTCTAACTCAACATCAATATTCAGGCCGATCTAACCATGAATGTCTGTCTGTCCGTCTGTTTGTGTGAATAGGGAAGAGGCCTGTCAAGCCTGGACCCAAGCTCGCAAAAAGCCGGCATAAATCTGATTTTGAGGCCGGACCTCATTGTGACTGTTTCGTGGCCCAGGCGCATGAGAAAGGGCACGGAACAATTAATGTGTGCTTTTCACCGTACGTATTTTGAACTTGCAGCTGGGGTCAAGTTAAAAAATATGACACGCGTCTTTCTCTATTGCTGAAAAGCTAAAGTCGAATTCGAACGAGACGGATATATACACACATTGATGAGAAAATAAATAGACACATGTGTGTTAAAGCCAATCTGATTGTATTATAATTTTTAAATTTATTGAGGATGTATGAATTTTCTTTTTATTTGGAAGCTTTTATTTAAATACAGTTTATATGCCTTTACAATCTTGCATTAAATGTAACTGTTCAGGAGATTTCGTATTATTTGCGGTGGTTTAAATGTTTCTTTTGGGTTATCTGTTTCTATTCACTTACAGAGGGTAATATAATTTTATCACGAAGTGTGTAACGCATACAATGAAACTTCACTCCCCATAACGTATGTATACATATTCCTGATCAGCATCAACAGCTAAATCGATATAGCCACGACCATTATCAGATGCTATGGAGATTCATCAGCTTAAGAGCTATCGTTGTGAAAGTTTTTATAGGTTCGTCTTTCTTTGCAGACTTTGTCGAAAAAAGGCTGAATCAGATCACCTGATCATATAGCCATGAAAATAATCGGTGAAAATTAAGTTCTTGTGTGAACATTTGGTGTGTGAACATTGTTTGTTTTATAGAATTTTTGCCTTACTTAGAATTTAAAAGCTTCACTTAACCTTCACTTAACAAGCTTTAAATAGTTTTTTTTTTTAGAGATATTTTAAAGAAACTTGGCATTTATAAACTATTTATACAGAATTTTCTCTCGAAAAACAAAGTTTTGTATAAAAAATTGTTAAATTTTTCACCATATCTTAATAAAACTCAGAAATGATCAGTTTCACTATTCTGATATATTTGTTAGACCTCAAATATATCTGCAATACATCAGACTACTATATCATACAATTTCAACAGGAACGATCGGGCGGTAATAAACGTTCTAACCCAAAGATTTAGGTATTGGTATTTTATTATCGGCCTTCCGATGTAGCCGATATTTCCTGTTTTTTTTTTTTTTAGTCATTATACAAATAAAATGTATATAATATTTTTGGATTATGTTTCACACTTAACGGTAATAAATTTTATTAAAAGAAAATATTTATCAATAATATTAATTGTAATTGTAAAATCTACAGAAAATAGTTATTTTTATATTATTTATATTATGGGCTTAAGTATATTTAGATGTGTGTATTCTCTTTTTTGTTGTGATTGTACATATATATGTATATATTCTATATGCACAAGTTACATAAATCGCTCAGCGAATGCAAAGAAAACTGTGGACAACTTAACGCGATAAGCTTAAAAACTTAAGCCATAGAAGGGAAGCCGAATAACCTGCAGTGTAGACAGTCTCAGTCAGGCATGGCTATCTCTTACAGCTTCTCACAGTCACCCTTTATTTTACAAGGCTTCCCGTTTAGGTGCTGTCCAATTGATAGTACCATTTCCGCTTCTGCCACCATCGAGCAATGCCTCAGATTTTGAGCTATGTAGGCGCTTTTCGCAGTAGAGACTGCCCACAGGTTTTGCTATGGAGGCTGCCAAGCTCTTGGTCACATTGGAGTAAAGAACCGCGGCACCATCAGTCAATACAGGTGAAACAGTCGCATCCGCGCTTATTTGCCGCATTAGCAATGAAACCGGGATCGGTCCTTGATCCGCCTTTATTGCTGTCGTTCGATTTCGATTCGTGATAGGAAATTTATTCTTCGTACAACTCAGATCTAGCTCCAACGTATAAAATCGTCCACGCGTATACTGACGATTTTCGTTTTCAAGATTGCTGCATGCCGTGCTGGATGTGGGTGCTGGCACAGTTGACGATGCTGTCGTCGACGGCGGTGGTGGCTGTTGACTGATAGCGCCAATGCTGCTGCGATTACTGTGAGCTGCAAGAACGGCAGTATTTGCGGTCGTTACACTACTGGCCTGGGTGCCGGCACCGCTTCCATCACAGACATCTTCGCCAATATCTTCGTCGCTATACATAGCATCCTCTGTTGAGTCAGTAATGTGCAGCTCATTGTGTGTGGTCGCCGGCACCGTTCTAGGTTGCGACGCCGAGTAACCCTGCACTAGAGTCTTATTGGACCCTAAACGTGGAGATTGATCCATTAGTAGATTTTCCCAGCTGGTCTCATAAACGCTGGCAAGTTGGGCCGTTTGCTTAGGCTTCAGCTGCGCCTTGTGAGACAGCAACGTTGAATTTGATGACGGTGGTGCAGCTGCTGCAGTTGTTGTCGTTGTTGATGCTGATGTTGAAGCTGTTGATGTTGTTGAGGTTGTTAACAATAATGTTGAGGCAACGGAAGTATGTGATGATTTCTGTAGATCGTTGGCGGGCTGCTTACGAGCGCTGATAATAAGCTGCGGCTCCACATAGAACGTATCGAAGTTAAGGTCTAGAAAAAGTTCCTGCAGAAAGCGGCGCGCACTCATGCGATAGCTACTGCGCCCCAACGTCTTGCAAGATTCCGAGTATAGGCAAATGTCTTGAAAAGCATGGGGATGCTTCTGTTTCAGTTCTAACAATGCCATTTTCGATTGTTTTGCACTAACCGGATTAGCTAAACGCTGCACATTGTACAGTATAGAAGCGGTTAACTTATCTGGGAGACTCTCTTCACTCAATATGCTCTCGGGCGAGTGGAAGCTCATATCCGCAAGCTGTATGGAACCACCGCCAGTTTTGCCAGTAGTCTTACGGGCCAATGCGGGGCCAGCTTGCATACCAGCGGCAACCAATGTCGCTGATGCGCTGCTATAAAGTTCACAGGGTGCCATTTGGCCGCCAAGGCCGTTGGTGCTGTTGGTGTCCTGTGCTGACGCTTGCGATGTTTGCGCTTGCAGTCGTTGCTGACGACGCGAGCGTGTACAATAAAGGCACTGGCTGCGTGCATGTTTGGCGCCAAATTGCCATTTGGACGGCCGTCGACTGGCCGATGACGAGACATCGGAAAGCGAGGATATTACCGAGGACTCGTCGCCGCCCTCGTTGTTGATGGAATCGTTAAGAAACGTTAAGAACTGCGGCCGCCCGCTCAATAAATTAAGGCCCATTAAATCCTGATCAATAATATCACATGAGACATAAGTACGGCTTAAATTCCGCGAGGGAAACAAATCGAGTGCATTTTTAGGCAAGCAGATGCCAGTATAGCATGGACCTTGTAGATCATTTGGTGGCAGAAACTTGGGCGTATTCAGTGACGGTAATGGCACCTGCAGTTCTTCCGACGAGAGACGTCTGAAAAATATTAAAAAGTTACAACATTAAAAAATATATTAAATTTAAAGCACTAGTAAAACCCTGTACCCAGCATCTAGTTGCTGTAAATTGAAGACTAGCGAGGAATAACCAATTTGAAAATGAGTTGCTTAAAAAGCCCATTAAATGTTACAGCATCCCTATATACAGCTTATAGCCGGAATGAACTTCGCTTCACGTTTCTGATAATGAATGAGAAGCTTTATTGAATGTATACCTTATTTTGCGATCTACTCTGCTTATTTCCGTTTATTTAATATGACACAATACACATGGCTCAATATAAAGCAGCAATGGTGACTGAAACCTGCGAGAAACAGCTGCCACGAAACGAAACATCTCCGACTGCATATGCCGGCTATTGCATGTTCATCCCCTTCCATGGACCAATTTTAAAAATGGTTATTATAACGATGTATCGAAGACATCGAAGTTTTTGCTAGACATATCGCAAAATATGGATGTCACATGACGATATATTCTCGGCATGCAAATATTTTGAGCCTCGATTAGTGTATACCATAAGAGCTTCATGGTAACACTATCACTTAATTCTTAATCTTAATCTTAAAACCAAATTAATCCTTTAAAACCAAATTTCGATTTAGGATATCAAACTCGTATAGCATGAGCACTAGGACCTACGTTCAAAATTTCAAGTGTCTAGTTCTTGTATGTTCTGAGGACAATGCGTTCATATAAGGGAGTCACGGATGCTTCATTTTGTCTCCTGAGGACTGCCCTACTATGGAATTCTCTGAACCCGATTCCCCGCACGCTGTTGACAGCACCACTTAAGCTGCGGCTGCGCTGCCTTTTGCCTTAGCACAATTTTGCGCAAAATAGACATTTTCTGCTCAACCCACGTTCTGAGAGAACAATCGGTGCGATTGCTATATGCTTTGTGTGACAGAGCACAATCGTCGTTCTATAATTTGGAAAATGATTATATACGTATGATACTCCTGTGGGGGATAGCAGAGTAACATTCTTTTCCTATGATCCAAACTCATTTATTCTACATCAAGACATAGTATAAGTCACGTTTTTCAGAAAGAACAGGTCTATTATAAAAATGATCACGTAGAATTATTATAAATATCGCATTGGGATAAAGAGAGAGATAGAGAGAGAGAGAGAGACAGAGAGAGAGACAGAGAGAGGGAGAGATAGAGATAGAGAGAGAGCGAAAGAGAAAGGGAGATGCAGACATAGGGGCATAGAAACAGATAGACAGACGGACTAGTTCACATCGTTCGCTGTTCACCGATTATATATATGATTTACACAAATACCTTTATATTTAGTTTCAGGTCTGCACTTACGTGAACACATTAAGCATTGTCTGTCGATCCAAACTGCGCACTTTAATCCGGCGGTTGGATTCGCCCCAGGAGTATTTTCGTGGTTGGACCTCACCACGATCAACAATGTCGATAAAGTCGTATAGTTCCGCAGCCGATTCTGAGAACACCGGACGACTCCGGGCCCGCAAAGAGCGCAGCTTTGCGTAGCCCTCCATAGCCAGAGGACTTAGCGCGGGCGGTAGAAAACTTGTACCCAACAATGATGTGCGACGCAACAATTTTGCGGCTTGAAGTGTCGGTAGCTCCAGCAGATTGGACATACTTGGTATGGGACTCAGTGGAAATTGCTGAAAGTCACCCACGTTGATACCACCTGCAGCAGCGGATGCAACAGCTGTTCTTCCAGTTACTGACTCACAACTGCTTACGCCCGAGGTATTAGAGTCCGTGCAAGAATTGTAGCGAATTCGATGTTGATAATGCATTGGACAGAATCCAACACCTGGCGCACTAGTTCCGCCACCTAGTAGGCTAAATACATCCGTTGTCTTGGATTCGGACAGAGAGCGCTGATGTTTACCCTGACGCACATTGCTTCCTTCTGGAAGCGTTTTCGATTTGGCTGCTACTCCGCCAATGGGAAGCGGCCGACTGAACTGAAGCTACCATATGAGTGAAAGATAGATAACTCTTAGATTTGTGCAGTTGGTGAGTTATTAATATGACAACATACCTCTTCGACAGTGGTCCGGGCACTGTCCGTCGTCGTCGTTGTAGTGGTGTTTACATCCTGCAGATTCCAACAACTGCCAGTATCATAGGAAGCATCGATTTGATCCTCAATACCCGTGTAGTTATACGGCGGCATATCCTCATAGTGATGACGCACCGGAGTATATTGGTTTGAAATCCAATCCTCTGGCTGATGAACGGGCCACATTGTGTTCCGATCATGACGAACACTAAGCCAATCTATAAACATAACATATCCATCAATATTTGCCGTCTTTTGCTATTTCCTGCTTGCGTTATAACAAAGACTGTCAGTCTGTCTCTCTCACTTGCTTTCATTCTTGCACTTATATGTATATTCAATTTCTATAGCCATATATATAGTCATAATATCTTCAACTACACCCAGATCAGATTCCACCTAAATTCAATACGACATACATCTGTATGTATTGCAGTAAAATTGTACGATGTATGATGTATATACACTAAAAACTTACTTAGCTTGAAAAGCAAGTTGGCGCCTGCCTGAGTTCCTGCTATTAGACCCAAGGCACTAAAGCATGTCGCGCGCACCGAGTACACTTCGCACTTGGTCACCATCAGTATAAGCTTTTCATAGAGCCTGCAAAATGTACAGTTACACTGTTATTATTGTGCAAAGTTGTAAATGTATATTGTCTCACCTGGCGCCCAGCTCTACAAAGTATTCAATGCCATTGGAGTGCGTTGAGGTATGACTTAGAGCCCAAATAGCCGCTTTTAGCTCAAGGCATTCGGCATCGTCGTTGCACTTACCGCGCGTAAAAACCTCGACTAACTGGGGGAGATCAGCATATTTTCGAAGAGCTGTCATGCCCTGAGTGGTCTGCGCCATTTGGCCATACAGATGCGGCGCTATATTGGGCGGAACTAACTGTGCTCTTTGATTGCAATTGCGCCTGGAGTAGTAGCCATCCTCGTTGCGCACGTGTAGCGTTAGACTGGAGTGTGTCTCCGCCTCGACGAGCAGCACATAGCGCTTATTGTACCCATTGCGCCAATACTTGATCTCATCCTCGATGTGAGCTTTGCTGCTATTCAGACCGCGCGATAGAGAGTAAAAACGTGACATAAGCAGACGCCCCACATCACCCAATTGCTTAAGATTTGGCCACAGACTAACGATCTCCTCCAGATAGTATTTGTCATGGCAAGCCTCCTCTAGCACATCCATAGCGGCTAGTACAACACTGCGGTCCGAGTCCTTGGTTTGCTGTATAATTAGTGGTAGGCCCCAAATTTCAAAGTTGGGCAAACGTGCACGAAGCAACACAGCCAGAAATTGAGTGGCATACAGTCGACCACTACGTGTCTTGGCGAGCGTAAGGGCTTTTTCTAGCACTTGTCGCGGCAGCTTTTCATGGCTGTAGTTTAGGCCAGAGACAATCAGTTTTACATAGCAAACATGATCAGTATGACGGACCAGCGTAATCAGACTAATAGAGAGAATAGAATCAATAAAGTTTACTAAGGAACTGGGACAATTTCACTCACTATTCGAATACGGTTGTGTTCTTAAGCACTTCAATACCCTTGTTGTTGCGACACATCCGTCCAATATAGAGAAAATATTGCTGACACATTGTGTTGTTCATATGCTGCGGACTAAACAGGCAATCATGGGCACGACTTGATGTGGTCACTGCCAGCAGATGTTGGCTTATGTCCGAGAAATAGTCTGTTATGTAGCGCATGCATTCCAGCTTCATTACAAACAAGAGAAGAAAAAAAGGTACATGCATAAGAAAAAGGTAAGACTATATTAAAAATATATTACCTCGCTACTGCTTAGCAACACATCAATTAGATCGAGGCCAGCGCTTACATACGCTGGCATTGTGTGGCCCGGAACAAGATCTTGATGTGAAAAACGGTTGTTACTTGGTTTAAAGAAGTCCACCAAACGTTTAAGGAATTTATTTAGAAATTTTCCCGGCGTATAGTCAAGCTTGCGTATTAAATTTGACTGGGAAAAAGACATGAACGAAAGGTTAGGAAAATATGACATTGTCAATTGTTCAATGCTTACTCTCAGTATTGTGATGATCACCTCCCAGTCCCAGGCGTTTGCATCGGCCTGGGTTAACACATGTGATTCGTGCAGCAGTCGATTGAAGGCACGAAAATTATCGAGGTTAAATACCTGCGGTAGAAACTTACGTTTCAGTCTAAAGCTGGAACGCAGAGAATTTGATGCCTGCGAATTCGACTCATCACTGGAGGAAACTGAATCCAAACGCTGTCTATCCAGCGTTCCTGTGCCTCGATAAGAAGCTGAAAAGGACGACGAAGACGCGACGGCTACTGCAGCGGCCGCTGCTCCAGCTGTATCCTGCAGCTGCAAAGCACTAGTTTGTTCCTGTGCATTGATGTTACGCCGAAAGAGACGTGTTTGTAAAAGCGCACCACCTTGTACAATGCTATCAAGAAATAAACTACACGATGCCGGCCTCTGGCGCAACATCTTCTGATAATTTTGCAGAGCTGCCACGGCTGCATTGGCTTGTTGATTGCCTTGCGTGGCATGTCCAACGAGCGTGGGTAACGCTGGACTAGTGCTAAAAATATCAGCTGGCAAATGTGTATGCATTAGCTGTACTATTTTGCCAATTAAAACTGTGGCGCGCACCGACACAAACTGATCACTGGCAACGGCTACCTCGACCAGAGCATTGAGCAGTCCTGTTTCAAGAAAGCAGTAAAGAAGCAGCGCTAAGTGCTGTTCCACCACATTGGGAGCACGTGCTGCCAAACTGGGTAATATAGAACGTCCCTCAGCGGAGACAAACCCATTGCTTAGCAGCCAAGAGTCTTGGAAATCTGACGGATCCACCGTTTGCAACGCCACATCATAATCATCCGTCCAGCTAGGTTGTGGAACCGATAAAAGCTCGTAAAGCAAGTCCAATATTGCTTTCTGCCGGCAACAAAATGGAGGGAGAAAAACGCACAATGACAATTAGTTAGTTATTATATAAAAACATATAAAAAAACGAGTTTTATATTTTGTTTACAAACTAAAACAGTTATAGTACGGTTTTGCGAACAGGAAAATGGGGGCATCGTTAAAGTTATAATATATGCACGAATATCGATCTGTCTAGTCCCTCAGTTATAAACAAAATCGAAGCACTCTATTATATGCTCAAAAAGTTTCAATTAAGCAAACAATTGAAATACTGTATAATTATTGAAATCAAGTGAATGTTAATAATTTTTTTGATTGATGTTTTTATATTTATTTTAAAGATCTTTTTACAGTAGAAACTAAATTAACTGTACATGTAGTTCGTTTTCTTCGAACCTCTATCGTTAAAAATTAATTATTTTATCTTCTCGTAAGCTGGAACCTTAAACATTTAATAATTTCTATGACAGCATTGAAAGTTGACAAACTTTTGTCGAAGAACAAATAAGGCAAATAATTCAATACACTTAGACTGCCAAAATAGGTATATACAAGCAATTTCTTTACTTACTCTGACTTCAATTTGATTTAAATATAAAGCGTCAACTATTGCTTTCAAACCCGAAGGTTTGCTTGGATCACAGAATTCGAGCGTGCCTGTCCAACTGCGCAGAACGGAAAGTAAAGCTAGGCGACAACTGGTATAACGCAGCTCCCGTGCGTCCCTGCAATGGGTGAATCATTAAATAAGAGATGTTAACAAAAGACATTAGCTTTGCTTTACTTACTTGTTTTTATCCATAACGCCTAGTCCATAGGTGAAATCACAATAAGGAGCCGCTAGGCAGTCAAGTCGAACTCCACAAATATTTCGCGTCTGCGGCCACTCGAGAAGATAGAGCAGCACGCCGCAGAGACTTTCGGCGATGCGTGGATTGTGGCACTCAAGCACATTTCGCGTAATGGATGAGACGCCACCGCACACAATCAGCAGCGCCGGATTGAGCACTGCAAACTCAGCAAGCGTCGCAAGGCAGGCACGCAGAAGATTGTCGCTCTCCTCAATGCCGCTGTCGGCCAGCGACACTAGACATCTGACGACTACTGGACTTATGTCTTCAGGCGCTATGGCCAGCATTTTACGTACCAACTTAAGCGCCTGCACGCGTTCATCGTCGTTCTTTAGCATCAAATCAATGGATCGACATAAGAGGTGCTGAAGCTGCAGCGCATTGAACGCTCTGATATCCTTTGGCGTGGTCAGCGTATAGCGGATAGTGCGTAGCGCAGCCGCACGTACCTGCGTAAAGGTGTGTACCAGTGAGGCACTTAGACTGCAGATAAAAATATGATTAGTTTGAAATAATTCTTAGGATTCCTTGCAGCACGCGTTACTTACCAGTAAAGGAGTTCCTCTGTGCTGAAGCGTAGATTGTTGTGCGGCGAGCCCGTGGTGGCCGCTAGGCAAAGCGAGGCCAGAGCATTGAGCAGAAACAAACGCTTCGTATCCCGCGTCTCCTCCACACAAAGCATGGCATAGATGTCATAGGCATTTTCAGCCGCCGATTTCTTTGGATCCAATCGATAGAAGTCCTCCGGATCTTGTGAAACTAAAAACGCAATAAGTCAACAGACGTAATTAAAAAATATTGTGGGAAGAGGCAGATGAGTAGGGATCTGGCAAAAGGTGATATGTGCTAGGCGCGAACGCTCTCAAAGCCAACAGCTGGACTACGGACTAGAATATCCCATTTGATTGTGCCAAATCTGCATGTGTCATGTTCACGCTGCGCCCCGATAGCTGCATGGAACTGTACTTCAATAAAGGGATGATTGCACATACTAGCGTCCTCTAATTGTTGATCGAAAGGCTGGATCGCAGAGCTAAATGCTTGAATAGGCTAAAAAACCTTGCTGCTTGTCTGTACAAAGACGCTATTCGTTAAGACGATGCTCACGCCCATTTGAATCTACGTCATCCAACTTTGGCACACGGCATCACCACACCAACTTAATTGGCTGCGGCTCATTCAAGGCAACGGTCAGAGCTCTAGGTAGCCGGACTCGCAACTGACGCTATGGAACGTGATCTTCGCCTTTCGAAGGTTAGAGATCAAATTAAATGTTTTTGCAGCAGCTCCGCCGACAAGCTGCTGGGGCTGTGATGCCTGGGATATGGTCGCCAGTGTTCTGGCTGAAACCATCCCAACGTCCATGGTTCGATTTACAATGCGAATCAATGCCTCTCCATTAGGATCTGTTTGTTAACGTGTTTTGCTATATCCATGAGCCAGGCTTAGTCTCGATGGGAAAATTTAATTCATACTTAAACAAAATTCACTGGAATTCATTCATGCATTTATGCATTCAACAATTAATTACTACGAAGCGTTCTTAACCCATTATCGACTCAGTGTCCCTGTTGCGCCATAATCGACAGTCGAAGTAAACAATGCAGAAGAAAATCAATGCCGCTCTGTTTGTTTATATTATATTATTTCTGTTTTTTCCTTCTTAATAATACTGAAATAATAAGCAAATGTAAAAAGCGACAAATGCTGCTGCAATCGAACCGGCGACTTCCCACTCATTAGTCCGACGCACAGTCACCCAAGCCATACGGGCTAACGCATTGTTTTTGATGCTCTTCAAACAAACTTTGACACTCGCTTTCACCAAATTAGGTGTCAGATTTTCATTGCTTTCACGGCTGGGCATGTGCATTCAGTCATTCATTGAGTGATTCAGTCAATCGGGACAAACTTATATATATATACAGCTAAGTATTGAAATATGTTAATGGACATTTAGATAATGTTTATAAATGCTGCAGTTAATACTGAGCTATTTCTCAGTATGAGACCAGAAATGCTTCCTATAGCCTGTTACACACATTTGCATGATAACCATGTTAATTTTGAAACTTTGATCGTAAAGTTATGAAATCAATATCATCATAAATAATCAGAGGTCAGTATTCATAGTTCTTAATTCTTCGCGCATCTCAAAACGACTTTAACAAATGCACTTAAAAATGCCATGAGTTAAGCTGATATTCTCTCAATAGATCTGCTACAATATGAAAGTTATAGCCATCTTATGGGGATTGCAATGTATTGTTGCAGAAAGTATTGCTGCTTTCTATGGCTCGAGTTCGTTATGCGTGTTAACAAAACAAGAACATACTTCATAATGTTTTTCAAACGTAGATTACAAGATATTAACACAGCTGTGTTAAATAGGAAAGCGCCTTTGACAGCGCATTAATTGGAAAGCTACTCTATTTCCGACAATTTCCTGGATATTTTTTAGGAAACCAAAGTTCGGAAAGTATTGAAATCGTTCTAGAATTGATGAAAATAAAACTACGAACAAATTGAACAGTAAAAATACATTTCCTGCACACCCACTTAGACTTTTTTGTTGGCCAACTTGGATGAGCTTGGATTTGAGCGCGTAGAATGATTCTACCAACACCTAGAATCGATGGGAGTTACAAGAATTTGAGGAATCAGATGTGTGAATGACAGGATATCAAAATTTAATTTTGATTTAAACACAAATAGTCTTTCAGATTTAGAATCAATATAAAATTATTTTACGGTCGTATGTCGATAGCATGGAATGCCAGGTCGCGGTCAAGCTACTGAAAAACGAATCGTTTATAAGTATATTAGATGGAATTAATTGATGAAAACAAAGTAATTTCTCACATAAAAGATTTAAAAGTCCTTGCAGTCAGTGCATGTACCGGCAAACGCAGCCTGCTCCTTAGGACCTGCCCATTCAAATCAAGGCAGTTAACAAGATTTTTGATTTCTGAGCGTGATGCATTAAAATGTGCATAAGTATGTCGTACAAACAATTCCCACTCAACTCACGGCTATTGAAGGGAAATTGCTCCACGAGCGAAACTAATCAGCGCTGTTGCTGTCATCAGGTTGGGCTGCCGGCGCACGTGAAATTATTAAGTGTCATAGCATTTGGATGTCTCGTTGCAAGCAAGCTAGCCAACTGTACTTGGAAAATAAATTAACAACAAATGTGAATGTTGCTGTTGGTTTTATATTGTTGTTAGCTTGCTGCGTCATCGTTGGGGCCGCTCTATGTTAGCGACGTGACGTCTATTAATAGACAACAAACATGAAGTAAAAATTTGGTCAAACAAAACATAGACAAGCACATAGGCACATATAAAAATATAACAACCCATTTCTGACAGCTACACCACACGGAGGTGACGGATATATTCAAGATATATGTATATAGCCAGGCGGATGCTGCAACATTGCTTCGACTTTGCCTGCCTCCTAAACCATATAGTATATGCGTTTATTGGGTAAGCCCGCAGTAGCTGTTGACTAGACTATCTTACCGCTTACTGTTATTTAGCTTGTCACAGGCTTGCCACAGCTAGTGGCAATAATAATATCAGTTCTATTTAGTATGTATTATGCACTTAAGTTTACATGGGCAGTAGCGATGCTACTTGAGGCATATGTTAATTAACATTTATCATAGCTACACATAATATACCTTTAATGCGTAATTGTAGTTTGCTTCTTTTTTTGCCAAAACGCCAACTGGAATGTAGAGAGGCCATATCTCAGGGCAACGGCGAAGATGGCGGCGGTTGCAGCGCCCATTCACCAATACAAAACCAAATAAAAAAGACCACACGAGTAAATGAAAATATATTTCGATGAATGTTACTTGGGGTGCCTCTGTTTACTTTCTACATTTTATGGCACTCTTGTTTGCACTGTTGTTGATATTGATAGCGATGTTAACCTACAGCTGGTCAAAATTCTCATTTTTAGGCGTTTCGAATCACTTTTAAATATATATTTGGTATTCACTTTTTTTATTTTATATCATGCACTATGGCTTTTATTTATATCAATACTTTATTTGCACAGAACCAAGCGCAAAATTGATTAGCGGATGCGTTTCATTTTTTTTTTTTTTTGATAAAATGAGCAGAACTACTTGCAATCGATATCTGACAGGGCTACGAATAGTTAACCCAAATGAATTTATGCAGCCCTTCGTGACTATGAAATTTGAAGTAATTGGCAGCACTTATCAGGCAATATCCAAGCTACTAAAAAACAGTTAAAGAAATATATTAAAATATTTCAATATTAAACTTATTTGCACAAATATTAAAAATAATTCACAAAAAAACCTATTAAATCCTATATATATGTAATGTTTTTATAACATATTTAAATCATTTCTTTATGATTGAGATCATGTACATTATACATGTTAAACTAATCTTTATTATATAAATTTAAAACTTTTTTAATACAGCTACAAAAGAACAAAAGCCTTGAATACGTGGAGCTGGTATATTTTGTTTATAGGAGCAATACCAAGCAACGGACAAATCTGTTAGAATAAATGTAGATATAATAATGATATTATTATAGTTTGGTTCGTTTTTGACTGAGTGGTCGTCTCTATAACTTTTGATTTCATTTCCTTTGCCGGGCATTTCGTATACTTATCGCCGAAAGCTTAATTGTTTTCAGGAACACCACCATTTTGGGGCTTTGTCACGGAAAGCAAATTGATTTGTATTGCCGGCTGGCAAGCAAATATCGATGATGCTCTGCACAGCATTGTAACATTAAGCGATGGCTGAATATATTTACACGATACTATCGAAGAGCGTACTCAATTCGATAACAATTGTTTACAAATGGATATATCGATAAGAATCCACTTAATGAGTCTATTTAAATTTTAAAAGCGACGCTAAAATCCGAACAATATTTGTGTTTGATTGAATTGATGGATTCACAGAAAATAAATTCTGTGCTTATAGCGGTGCGTGAAGCACCGTTTCGGACCACACTGATTAGCAGCAAAAGGCCCGATGAAAAAAGTATAATACACTATCCGGAGAACTGTCCAAACGTAAATACGATCACAATGTAACTGTACACTATGTACATATTAAATTTAATACTGTTATGGCGAACATGCTTCTGTTTACAGGCCCTTTCTGTAGATGGTAATGTTTTTAGCTTTGATTATGTATTCAACTCCACTGTGACACAGTCTGAGCTATATGATACGCTTGTTCATCCGCTGGTCCTAAAGGTATTATCTGGTTATGATTGCACAGCATTGGCCTATGGTCAGACCGGCACTGGCAAGAGCTATTCTATGGGGATGAGCGCAGAGGTGAGTTTGAATAAGCGGCGTAAACTTTGACATTTAGCGTTGAAGAGCTCTTTTTAAATGCAGAAACTAACAGACGAACATATGGGTGTGGTACCAAGGTGCTTGCAAAACATATTGGATCATACATGCCTTGCAAATCAAAAAGAGAACAATCCTTTGCCGAAGCTTGTTTACGCTTCCTACATAGAAATATATAATGAAAGAGCATACGATCTTCTTGCCCTCGACACGGAAAAGCCTTTGGCATCGCGTGGACAGCGGTTCACGGGCGGCACATGTAAGCCAGTGAGAAACCAACAGGACCTGCTACATATACTGATGTTGGGCACTAAGAATCGGCATGTGCGTCCCACCAACATGAATAAAAATAGTTCTCGCTCACATGCCATTGTCACCATCCATGTTCGACAAGGCCAAAGCCATGCGCGCCTGAACATCGTCGATTTAGCTGGCTCCGAGAGTGTGCGTCGTACTGGTAACGAGGGCGTGGCACGTGCTGAGGGAGTCTATATAAATATGGGACTCTTGGGTATAAACAAAGTGCTGCTCTCCATGTCTGCTGGGCACACATTGATACCCTATCGAGACTCTATCCTAACAACTGTGCTACAAGGTATGTACATGTGTCTAATTGACTTTTCGTTTTCGACTAACTCTTTTTTAAAGCCCAGAATCCATTGAAAACGGGAAAACACTTTCAAATATTATATACAAAAAATATAACTTCCCCCAAAAATTCGAAAAAAAAATATTAGTAGAAAGAAACATCCCAACATGGATTTGAAATGTCGCAATTAACTTTGAGCTAGACTAAGCATCTTTACTAATTCCATAACTTTGCACAGTGCTGCATTTTCCGTCTGTGCAACATCCTTGAAATTTTAATGTTGAGTAATTTGCATGTGTGATCTGCTTTCAGTTCTTTTATCTAAATCGGTCGGTAACGACCGCAGCTAATTAAAAGCATCATTTGATGCGTTTTTCCGTATATATATATATATACAAGGCTGGTAGAATATTTGCGGGGAATGTAGAGGCATTTCTTAGTCGGAAACTCTCTAGACTAGAATACCCGCGGTTGTTTTATTTTAATTATAATAAATTATAATATACATACACAATCTATACTTTCAATAATTTGTCTTGTTTGGCTAGCTTATTTGATTTCTTTTCATTTTAGTTTTATGTATGTTTCATGTGGTCAAATATAATAAGTTCCGTTAACTAACGTCTAAATTAAGTCTAATCTGGATGGCATTAAAAACAAATGGGCTTTAATAGAAATACACATTTATCGCCAATATTGGTATTTAGTATATGTTTGTAAAAGAAGGCGCTCGAATCATATTTATATTTGCAGACTCTCTCAGTGCAGGTGCATATTTAACACTGCTGACTTGCGTAAGTCCACATGCTTCCGATCTGTCAGAAACTATCTCCACGCTGCGCTTTGCTAAGAGTGCCAAACAAGTAAAGCTGTCCCCGCAACTGAGTCATCGGTTGCAGCAACTGCAGGAGCAATTGGTAAGCAACTGAAACATCTAAATGTAGTTATAATCTGCACAATCCAATATGACGTCGCGCATTCGTTGCTTGTACAACATTTCATTGCCAACTCCTAAAAATCCAACTCCGTGCAAACTGGTGGTGGCGCCGCCTTCTGCCATCTCACTGATAACTTGAAGATCCGGCGCATCCTCGCCACGCATGGTCACTATTGGTAACACCATCATGGCTAGCAGCAAACCCACAGCGCCCTTTTCCTTTAGTTGCTGCTTAAAAGCAGTCAGTGGAAATAAAGCTTCTACCACTTCTCCCAGTCTTCCAAAACCAAAGTAACAAATTTAAGTGAAAGTAAAGTTCAATCGAAATAATGGGTAGCTCACCTAGTTAGTTGTTGTCGCAACTCCTCATAGTATAGCTGAATCATTGGCTGGTAATGCTGTCTGCGAAACATTCGCGTGGTACAGCTGAATAAGAAGTAGACCAAATCAGTTATCGGGGAGGCATATCGCATTAGCTGCCAGTCAATAAGACAGACCTCTAAAGGCTGTTTCGTGTACGCTTGGCACCTGTATAGAAAATTGTTGTTCCAACTGTCGCCGTGGCAAACCACTGCAAATGGTTCACAGTTGGAACCATTTAGTAATTCCAATAGCATTTCGAAATAACTACCACGACCAAAAAAAGCCTGCAGACGCTTAACATAAACAGCATCTTTTTGCGGGCATAATGTGCTCAGTGCGCTTTGCTTTAGCTGCTCAAAGTAGGCACCTAGGACGTGATCAGTGCGTCGCTCCTCAAAAATGTCCACCAGTTTCTGAAATGGCAAAAGCTTCTGAGGCTGTTGGCGTTTAAGAGCCAATGAGACTGCATGCAGCTTTGCATATGCGCACATGACCAGCGATACGTGAGCTGCCGTAAGGTCCGCGAAGCGATCATGCATCTGGTAGCCATTACGGCACAAGTCCTCCAGCACAATACACTCGTTGGGCTCATCCTGGCGACTGGCGAAACATTGTGCAAAGTGGCAGAAGCGCTGTGCCTCCGGTACCTGTCGCTCTGCCTGATAACTGCGGACCAGCGGCAAGAACTTTTCGTAGGCCATAGATTCGCGCTTAAAGCATGGCCGAGCAAAAAACTGCTTGCGCCTCAATAAGTTCTGGGGTGGAAGCTTTAAGACTAGGCTTTGCTCTTTTTCCACTTGTATTCGCCACACTATGCCCAAGTAGTTATTGCCCTTGGCACAGGCCAACTCCAGTGTATAGTCGCTGCGGCCAAGTAACTCTTCAAGTGTCTTACGAACGCTGGCATTGGGTAGATCCTCCTGTTGCTCCATGATTGTGTACTGTGAGCAGATCTTAACCGGCGATTGCTTTTATAGGCATATAGACTAACCGCAACCGCAAATTCGATCTGAAGCTAATTTGTATATTAAATGTCACTTTTATTGTCTACAGCGTTCAGCCAAAAAGAAGTCTACCAATGCTACGAGACAGAGCTTACGGCGTGTACTACCAAGCTCAAAAGCCATCAAGCGGCCTTTGACGGTGCCCTCCCATGCTAGCACAAGAAACAGTTTCTGTACGCCAGTCAAAAATACAGAGGCAAATACAAATTTCCAGCGCCATCACTCCGTCATGGGCTTGACACCTAAGGCCAAAGAGTGGTAATTAATGTTGACATTTGTTACATAAATCGGTTAAGAACTCTTCTTTTTTTTTTTTACAGTGCACGTGCCTTGCTGGAGCTGCCAGTGGATTTGAATACAGGCCCAATTGAATTATTACCTGGGGTAGAACAGAGCAACTGCAGTCTGGAGGAGGTGAAAACTCCTACGGCGTTTCCAACTATAAGTGACTATATAGAGCTTAAAATGAAGTACGATGCACTGCAGCAGCAGCCGCAACTTCACCTAAACGAGCAACAGGAGAAACAGGCTGCTGAGCGGCCTCCGTCATTGTCACTGCTTAGTTACAGCGACTTCAACTCAGAGCTGTGCTCCATAGCTGAAGAAAACGATGAAATCACTGTGCCGCGCTGTCAATTCTTTAGCAGTAGTCCTGCCAGTTCCAATCCCCGAAAGCCTAGTCCAGTTAATGTCAGCGGCATTTCTCCACTGTCATCTTCATCCATTGTTATAAGCAAAGAGCATACGGAACTAACAGCTGTTAGGCGCCGCTCAACACGTTTAATGAGTCGACAACTGAACATAGAGATATTAAAAAACTGCCAGGAGCTACCGCAGCGACGTCGCAGTATGCGAATTGCCTTACAAACAGAATTAAG